GATGTCCGTGTTTATTGTTTATCGTCTGTCAACCGAATGGCGACCGAAACATAAAAACAAATTCCCAAATATATCTAGGTCAAATGACAAAATAGGACAACTGCACACAGGATCAGGAGTGATAAAATCGCACGGGTGTTCATTGCTGTGAAATGAAGATATATAGGCCATCACTAGCCCGAGTTTCCTCTGGCCCCGACACCAGACTTAGACATTTTGACAGATAGACCCACACCAGACATCTATCCGTCAAAATGTCTAGGTCTGGTGTCGGGGCCTGAGGAAACTCGGGCTAGGCCATCACGTGATAAATGCTAGCACGTGCAAAAGAACAGCCTAATATAAATGATTAGATTATCTAGGTTACCTTAATATAAACTTTATTTCACATCTTGGTTTTTTCATTTACAGTTTAATGTAAAGCAATACACAACTGTCATCTTGCTTATCAGAGGCGGAAGGACACTGAGGTGGACACGAAAAATAGTTTCGTTATAGTTTACTTGTTGGTTTAGACATATATATATATATATATATAACTTGGGATTCTGAAATGTTGGAATAATAATCAACTCGGACTGCAATCGGCCTTCGTGAATTATTTTTTCACTCATTTTCTCATCCTCGTTTTATATTCCGCCATAATACATACGCATACACCTCCGACCATCGTCAAAGAAGGGAAATAATAATGAACTGATGCCGAAAAGGCATTCGTCATCTTTTTTTCAAATATTGTATTGGCATCATCATACATAATTCTATAATAATACCCGCACACCCTTTGATTATTTCTGAATGCGTCTGACTGAGGTCAAAAACATTATTGTTGATAAATCTTTTCCATAAAAACCTATTTGAGCGATTGTGTGATCACAAGGTCGAAGTCTGATAATGTGAGAACGGTTTAAGGGAGATAACCAATGTTGATAAGGGGAAAACGGAGAAATAAAAATGAGAGACTAAATTATTCACCTTTGTAGTTTTATATAATTTACACGGGAATAACTTTTTATAATTATCTTGCCGTGATATAAGATAGTTTGCCTTCTATGTAAAAAAAAAATCTCCGATGTGTATTCTCATCCCCAAGAAACTGCCCTGTTAACTGTAAGTCCGAGATATACCATGTATAGATAGAGGCTCGGGCTGTTATCTTCAATTCATCGTAGGAGTAATCTTGTATTCAGATATAAGTGTATTGTTAGGATCAAACTCATTAAAAACAAATTTCCGATTCCAGTGACGAGATATTTTAATCTCCGCCATTTTCAGCTGTCCGGCTCTACAGGGATTTAGCTCGCTGGCTGGTTCTATAAATCTGCCTTTGTGTTCTGAATAATGTATGCAAGTCTCGTGAGCCCATCTCCTCGTGAGCCCATCTCCTCGTGAGCCCATCTCCTCGTTATAATAAATTGTCAGTCCAGGTACAAATCTTTGCTTCACCACAAAAACAGGATCGGAATTCCGCTTGTGAATATATAACTATATTAAATAAAGATATTAATGAAAATGAAAAGTGCACTGCCAGACCCTATCGTTCATTCCTTCATTTCTTTCTTTCATTTTGTATTTATTTATTTTTCTAAAACTTGACACTATATTATTTCTAGTTAACTCCAAAGTTTTTGAACGTTATGATAGCTAATAGCACCATATCAAGACAATTCTGCACATGCATAGTTTAAGAGAGCTTCAAACAACGTAAACAAAAGTGTTAGAAAGTCCATAATTGTTACATCAGTATTTAGGCTAAATTATATTCAAATCATTAAAAATACGGAAACTTTGAAAATTGTCAAGAGGGAAACACTGCTGAGTTGGCAGTAAGCATTTTGACTTTACAATTGAAATGATATTATAATGGAAATGTTAACTTGCTATTTCTAAAAATAGTAACACCGACTTAATATCACAAACAACCGACCTCCACGTGATTATAATTCAACCAATCAGGATGTGGGAAAATGTGTTTTTGATATGAAATATATATATATAGGTTTAACGGTGAAATATATATATAGGTTAAACGGTGAAATATATATATAGGTTTAACGGTTAAATGTATATATAGGTTTAACGGTGAAATATATATATAGGTTTAACGGTGAAATATATATAAAAAAAATACGGTGGAATTAATAGAGGTTTAACGGTGAAATACATATATAGGTTTAACGGTTAAATATATATATAGGTTTAACGGTGAAATATATATATAGATTTAACGGTGAAATATATATATAGGTTTAACGGTAAAATATATATAAAAAAAAATACGGTGAAATATATAGAGGTTTAACGCTGAAATACATATATAGGTTTAACGGTGAAATATATATATAGGTTTAGCGGTTAAATATATATATAGGTTTAACGGTGAAATATATATATAGATTTAACGGTGAAATATATATACAATGTATGGGTTTAACGGTGAAATATATATATAGGTTTAACGGTGAAATATATATTAAAAAAATACGGTGAAATATATAGAGGTTTAACGGTGATGTATATAAAGAATAAATGACCTCTAGTTCTTCTAGAAACTGGTGGAAAATCTTAAATTCTCTTACACAATTTTCATGCAAAACAGCTGATATACCTACGCTGGTTTACAATGACAAAGCATACACCAATGACAAAGAAAAAGCCGATGCACTTGATAACTATTTTGTCCAACAGACTGAACTTGACGATTCACATCACACTCTACCAGTTATAAATGACAACAATATCATTATGCTTGATAATATAAATATTACAGCTCAAGACGTGTCTGACGCCATTGATATATCAGATGCTTCTAAAGCACATGGGCCTGATCTGATAAGTGGGAATTTGAAAAAAAGAAAAAGAAAAAAAGGTAAACGGCAATTAATAGGGCCTCTTTGTAATCTATTTGGTAATTAGTTCCATATATATATGAAGAAGAGATAAAAGATCGGAATGAACTAGACAGTCGGAAATTGGGAACAGTCAGTGTAGTTTTCAGTATTTCTCACGTTGTAGCTATTGCGTTCGTATGCTTTAAGAGGAAGAAGGCTAGTTTATTGTGGAGTTTGTACATTAGGGATTTTTTCTTAATTTTTTCTCTGTCATATAGAGGTTCAAGTTGGGATTCTTGATACGATGATTGTTTACTAGAAAAAGAGGGCAGGCCGGTTCAATCTGAACTTTTTCAAATTAAGTTAGATCTGCCAGAGAACAACCAACTTTCGTTGTACTGATACCTTTTTCATGCATGTTTTTTGAATTTCGGAAATATGTAAAGACCATTTTGCATCTGCGCTAAATAGCACGCCTAAATATTTCTAAACATTTTCTTCATGTTGGTAAGTATGGATTATAAAAAGTGTTTATTTACACAACCAATACAATTTTCTATATGAGGTTTCGATGACTAGTAATGTACACTGTCATCTTCATCAGACAAATGACCAGTGGAGCGTATGCACACAAAGGTGTTAAATGTGTACGAGTTGTCCACAAATCAATGGCGATTCGGCTACGTACAATAGTTGTTATATATTTACCGAAATGACTCGATTCAGCTAAGCTTTGTTTTATACTTGGTCATAGATGTGGGAGAGGCTTTGAGCCCCCTCATCTTGATTTAGAACTGGTCCACTGCGGCATATCCAGATGGCTTCCTTTATCACATAAACAAATCTTATTGGTTGTGTAAAAAGAACTTTTCATAAACCATTATTTCATAATCGAAAATAATTTGTAAAGGTAGTATATTTCTCGAATTAGATATTAATAACACATCAGTTTTCTGTACATCAAATTTAGTAAGTCAATCGCGTGACCCTTTATAAAGTCTTTCCAAAACTCTGTTGACACACATTTCAACATCAGCATGACTAAGAATACATCAAAGAGGTATCATCAGAAAATAAGTGTGAAATACTTTTCAAATTATCAACAATATATGTTTTCCTTTTTGTGATGTCACAATACCCGTATATGCTTCTACCTGTGACGTCACGGTACCCTTATGTATTTATTTATTGTGACGTCACTATATCCTCAAATGCTTCTTTAATTTATTGAGATGTTGCAATACAACAGTGCCTGTGGCTGGAGATTGACAGTCTGGTCAAAGGCCAAGCTCATGTCTTTACAAAGATTATTCTTGCTTTCTTGGTGAATCACACTTTTATCTTACTGTGTATAGTTTTTCATGAATACGTTTCACTTTTGAGCCACATTCGTATATTTGTGAAATATGTACATTAAATATAACAGAAATTGTGGTAATAATTAATCCGAAATATTTAAAGCTTAATTGTAGTATATGCATCTGTATTATTTAAGGGAACCTTATGCGCCTCACAAATGCATTCTGTCGTTATTACTTCTTTGCGCATATATATATATTTAAGTTGTTCGGATCCAGTGCTAATATTGGAGCATACTGTCGTTATTACTTATTAGCTAGACCTATATATCTGTAACAGGAGAGGAAAAATGCACGGCCAGACCGGGGTTCGAACCCGGCACCCTCCGAACTCTACACGGATGCTCTACCTTTTGAACTACATTATGTATCTGGTCGCCGACGATCGACCCAGTCCAGTTCCGCTACATATCTATACGTGTTCATGAAAGCAATTAGCTGAGAGCTTTTCATTGTTTCTTGATAACTTTTGATGTCTATATTACCGCTATATTAAACCCATTTACACGTGACAAATATTCTCTCACGTATAATTACCAGGAAGAATACACAACATATATATATATATGTCTTCTGCCCAGAGCTCATTGAGAACACAGGAACCTGTACATTTGTTACAGCTTTATTTGGACCTAAACTAAGGTATACAGAGTAATTTTACATGTTTTAGGGGTTTATATCGACTTTCAGTAAAAATGACACCCCAGTGATCATATATTTTAGTTTAGGTACAAATATATATACTGTAACAAATTATCAGGTCCCTGTGATCCTGCCGTAACCACGTGACAATTTTTATGGTCACATGATCAAACAGTGAAAATGGCGGACGGTGGACACCGGCGTGCGCGGGTGTTAATATTGGGAGGTAAGTGACGGATGGACCAAGATGTCTGATTGGGACTTAACGTAATGCACTGACACGTGTGTTGATGTTTCGTTTGGCTATAAAACATGGAGGGTAAAAATGTCAATCGGTAATGTATGCAGGTGACATAAAATGTCCGTTCGTTCTTACGTCATGATCGAAGATTCAGACGACAGTTTTAGTCGTTATAACTAGCGCACGTGTGGTCTAACTCTATATTGCTGCTTGAGGTTAATGAGGTAACACGAGGTGATGATAGCTCTGTTATATTACTTGACCCAATGCCCCTGGTAACTAGTTCTTACTTACATGAATATTCGTAACATCTTTTTAATGATTGGTCCCATTACAAAACAGTGTAACATACCCTAATTTTATGAGCAGAGCATACCGCTATACTATGAGATACGTGTGGTGTTCGTCCTTAAATAAAAACCTGGATTTCATAAAAAGATCTTCACTTTTTTGTTGAATTTCCGCTTTATCCATTCTTTTTTTGGCATTACAACCCACATTAAATTATTTAATTTCTTACATTAAATATTCAGTGTTTCTTTGCCATATTGATTTTTAAAATCTTCAGAGCCACTTTGTACTAATACTTTGAATAATTTACTGCTGTGCATTCACAGTTTAGTCCCCAGGGGTATATAGAGGCTGAAGATTTTATGTCGCTGGATTGATTGACATTTTTCCATAATGTACTATGAAATATAAGTGGGTTAATTTTATTTAGAAATCTGTCTGCAGGCAGTGAGTGGCTGGTACTCTAAATAGGAATTTGTTCACTCCTTGGTGTACAACTTGACACTGGACTGCCCTATTTAAGCAGATTTTGAACACAGCTGCACTTGGCTGACTTTTATTTCCAGAGTGAATATTAATCAAAATTGTTCACTAGCCATGACATAAGATCTACTGATCTCGGCTGACCTGCTCATAAAGTAGTATTGCCCCAGTTATCCGGACATCAACAACAGAAACACACAAACTTCAGTAATTTAGATTTGCAGACCTGTCCCTACACTAACCAAATTCTACTGCTAAAAGAAAGGCCCTGAAAACAGACTGAAAAAGTGATAACCCTGTCTGACCCTACACTCCAGTGATAACCCTGTTCTTTTAGATAACCCTAGGCCTACACCTCAGTGATTACCCTGCCCTTTTATATGACCCTATATTCCAGGGATAACCCTGCCCTTTTATATGACCCTACACTTCAGGGATAACCCTACTGTATTGCCTGACCCTACCCCAAGTGATAACAGTGCTCTACTGTCTGACATTACATCCCAGAGATAACCCTGCTCTACTGTCTGACTCTACCCCAAGTGATAACCCTGTTCTACTGTCTGACCCTACCCCAAAGTGATAACCATGTTCTACTGTCTGACCCTACCCCAAAGTGATAATCCTGCTGTATTGCCTGACCCTACCCCAAGTGATAACCCTGCTGTATTGCCTGACCCTACCCCAAGTGATAACACTGCTTTACTGTCTGACCCAAAGTGATAACCCTGCTCTACTGTCTGACCCAAAGTGATAACCCTGCTCTACTGTCTGGCTTCACACCCAGGTGATTGTTTCACCCCAAGTCCACCAAGGTCGTTATCATGTCAACACCAAGGGTTCAGGTCTTACCACACATATCTTCTGTTCACCCATGAATTATGTCAAAGACTCTTTACACAACACCTTGATCATGTGAGTAGACTTGTCTGGTGTCGTCGATGAAGATCAATGGAATCACTCAGCAGCGTAATGGTAAAATCAACAGGCTACAAAGTTAGCTGTAGCTCCTCTTTAATCTTCAAATAACATGTGTCAGCCTAGCTATTGGTCAGGTTGTTATACCTGAAACCAATCAGTGTCAGCCTAGCTATTGGTCCGGTTGTTATACCTGAAATCAATCAGTGTCAGCCAAGCTATTGGTCAGGTTCTTATACCTGAAACCAATCAGTGTCATCCTAGCTATTGGTCAGGTTGTTATACCTGAAACCAATCAGTGTCAGTCTAGCTACTTGTCAGGTTGTTATACCTGAAACCAATCAGTGTCAGTCTAGCTATTGGTCAGGTTTTTATACCTGAAACCAATCAAATACCCAATGCAACCGAGTGCCTTTGATTTTGTTAAGACTGGAGACCACAGGGATGAACTTTGACCTTGCCTGACAGATGTATACTTTTACTGGTTACAGGTACCGGGTTCATTGGTCGCCATTTGGTCGCATACCTTGTCAGCCATGACCTGGTCAGTAAGGTAAGTATGTTTGTTTTACCTGTAACAAGCTTTGAACATCAAAGGAGACCAAGGTAATTTCTTCAGGCTAAATGAGAAAGTTATTGTTGCTCAAATAAACTCTAACAGTTAGGCAAATTCCCATTGACATTGCCACAATTTATAAATAACTGCTAAATAAAATGTAGCAGATGCTTGCATCTTCATCTGCAACACAGAACACACTTCTTACTTAAATAGGGAAAGCAAAATCTGACAAGCACTCGGAATCCCATATATATTTAAGCATTTCCTTGTATAAATTTCTATCCGAGTACATATGATGATTATTCCACTGAATACTGTTGACTGTGCTTGAAGGGGAACTAGAATCAAGTAGACAACTTTTACTCTCGACCACGTTAAGGTGAATGAATCGGTCATTTATTATGTAAATTTATAACCCATGAGCATTTCTCACATCATTTGTGGTTGAGGATGCTGTAGTTATTTTCGCCTTTTGGACTGCGACTCTAAGCTGATGTTCCGCTAGCTAATCCGTGGCTCTGTAAACGGGTGATAGGTAACTGTCGCGAGTTCAGGAGCCCAACGTGTTTAATCCACTTTGATTTTAAATTGTGATACTTCTGCAGTTATAACAATATAAAATGTTGAATTCAGCAGGCATTTACAAGGTCAACCTATATGTTATAGGCAGATGGCTGTATTAAATGCTGAACATGAAAGTCTGATCTTTGTTAACTCATGATCGGGAGGAAACATATATGTTATAGGCAGATGGCTGTAGTAAATGCTGAACATGAAAGTCTGATCTTTGTTAACTCATGATCGGGAGTAAACATATATTTTATAGGCAGATGGCTGTATTAAATGCTGAAGATGAAAGTCAGATCTTTGTAAACTCATGATCGGGAGTAACCATATATGTTATAGGCAGATGGCTGTATTTAATGCTGAACATGAAAGTCTGATCTTTGTTAACTCATGATCGGGAGGAAACATATATGTTATAGGCAGATGGCTGGATTAAATGCTGAACATGAAAGTCTGATCTTTGTAAACTCCTGATCGGGAGTAAACATATATTTTATAGGCAGATGGCTGTATTAAATGCTGCACATGAAAGTCTGATCTTTGTTAACTCATGATCGGGAGGAAACATATATGTTATAGGCAGATGGCTGTATTAAATGCTGAAGATGAAAGTCAGATCTTTGTAAACTCATGATCGGGAGTAACCATATATGTTATAGGCAGATGGCTGTATTAAATCCTGAACATGAAAGTCTGATCTTTGTACACTCATGATCGGGAGTAAACATATATTTTATAGGCAGATGGCTGTATTAAATGCTGAACATTAAAGTCTGATCTTTGTAAACTCATGATCGGGAGTAAACATAAATGTTATAGGCAGATGGCTGTATTTAATGCTGAACATGAAAGTCTGATCTTTGTTAACTCATGATCGGGAGGAAACATATATGTTATAGGCAGATGGCTGGATTAAATGCTGAACATGAAAGTCTGATTTTTGTAAACTCATGATCGGGAGTAAACATAAATGTTATAGGCAGATGGCTGTATTAAATCCTGAACATGAAAGTCTGATCTTTGTAAACTCTTGATCGGGAGTAAACATATATGTTATAGTCAGATGGCTGTATTAAATGCTGAACATTAAAGTCTGATCTTTGTAAACTCATGATCGGGAGTAAACATAAATGTTATAGGCAGATGGCTGTATTAAATGCTGCACATGAAAGTCTGATCTTTGTTAACTCATGATCGGGAGTAAACATATATGTTATAGTCAGATGGCTGTATTAAATGCTGAACATTAAAGTCTGATCTTTGTAAACTCATGATCGGTAGTAAACATATATGTTATAGGCAGGGGGGTGTATTAAATGCTGAACATGAAAGTCTGATCTTTGTAAACTCATGATCGGGAGTCCCACAATAACCAAAATGTAAAAATCAAATATGAAATTTGATCGTGTAGATATATATATATGATAATGTTTTTGATAAATTAAACTTTTCTAGGAGAGTAAGATGGTAGTTATGACTCTAAGATGAGGCTGAAACTTAACATACTTCTAAGCAGCAAGGACCTATAGTACTATGGAAAACTATTTCTAACCTTAATATTACGGAACTATGTGTCTATGAATTGGGAAAATGTATTATTTTTATAAAAATTTGGAAAATGTTCCTAAGCAGCTTAATTAGTCCCTTTTTATTATAGCACTATGGAAAATTATGTTAACCTTAATTTTACAGCAGCATGTTTGTGCAATCAATCAGGAGAATATTATATACTTTTTTTTTATAAAAATTTGGAAACTATTCCTAGCATTTTCTTCATATTCGGAAAATAAGTAAATTATTTGTTAGACGAAGCAGCCTGTTTTCAGGTGACGTTAGGAAGACAACAAATTTGTTGTTAGATGTCAGTCAAAATACATACACAGACCATGGTAGCTAGCTTCCTGTCTGGTCTGAGTGAGGATTTCCTGACCACAAATATTACATATTGTACAGCATAATTTCTCATAAAAACGGAACATTGTCTCCACACTGTATCAGTAGTACTGTACTTAACATCAGCATCTATAATGTGGGACAGAAAATTACAAATTGACTGGGAAAATGATGGAGGGGTGGGGTTCATGGAGGGGCGGGGTTCACAGAGGGGCAGTGTTCACTGAGGGGCGGGGTTCACTGAGGGATGGAGTTCACGGAGGGGTGGAGTTCACATAGTAGAGGGATGCACAGAGCAGAGGGGGTTCATAAGGGGTAGGGTTCATGGAGGGGTAGGGTTCACGAGGGGTGTTGCTGGGTTCACGAAGGGGGGATGGAGTCCACGGAGGGGCGAGGTTCATGGAAGAGGGGGTTCATGGAGGGGTGGAGTTCACACAAGGTTGAGGTTTAAGATGATAGAGGGGAGAATGAGGTTGAAATAAAGGGAGAGGCAGAAAACTGGTTAGGTTCAAGGGATGGGTAGAGGAGAGAGGGGGCGGGGAGGAGCTGGGAGGGTGAGTGACATAATATGATAAATTGCTTTAAATAATCACAATATACACTACGTCATCCCTTTTATTTTCATGTACATATTTTACTAACAAATTGATTTACAAAAAAATATGTGTTACCGTATCATATACATATGATTGAGATTGTCACAGTTCGTAAACTGCTATGGCCAGTGTGACCCTGTAGACTGAAATATCACAGTCATGGGCCACCATATTTTAATGAATGACGTCCGTCTCTCCAAGTCTACATTCAGGAATTACAAATTATGCAGAGTAGTCTTAAAAAACACAATAAAATTCAATAGATTGATCCATCCTAATTATCTCCTTATTCCTATTCTCAATTAAAAGTTGATCCTTTGTTCGAAAACAAAAACTTAAATTTGTCCGTCTGTCTATACATAAGTTTGTTCTAAACTTTTCTCCTGCAGGAAGACACATATATAAAACACATAAATTTGATAACTTAGGAACATGCAAGGTTTTATTACCTTTTTAATTTGTTTTCAATTGTGATTGGTACGTGATGTCAGTTAAGTTTTATGTACATATTTACGGTGTAGGTACGGGTGGCTGACAAGGTGCCCCCTCAGATGGCCTGGCTAAACTGCCAACACAAGGTAACTATACACCATATTGATAATAGGATAATCCCTGACCTCGGTACTTTTGTAATATGACCATGTCATCTAATTTAAACCAACAAACTTTGACTTTTGAACTAGTATGATGATAGTGAAAAAGTACTACCAAACCTATGGCCACTGACCAAGTGGTAATGTGTAACCTATGAACTTTGACCTTCATATTTAATATAACAAATGTTGGTAGAAAATTTGTCGAACTTTTGAACACTAATATTAAACAATCTTGGTGGTAATATCGGTATGCCTGATGACCTCTGAACTTTTAGAACTTTAGTGGGCCTTACACATGTAGCCTTGAAATTTGTATTCAAACTAAAAACCTTGACCTAATTGTAAGGTTTGGTCTTGACCTGTACTTGACAATGAAGTTTGACCTTAACCTTCTTGTTTTTACACAGGAAGTATTTGCTAACCCTCTGGTGGAGTTCAAACATTCCAGTCTCATCAACCCAGGTAGGTAACCATGGCGACACGATACACTGTTATCCATGGAAACAAGCCAAAACATGTATACGTAGGTAACCATGGCAATAGGGCACACTGCCAGTGGTGTCCATGGTAACAAGTCAAAACATGTAGGTAACCATGGCAATAGGGCACACTGCCACTGGTATCCATGGTAACAAGTCAAAACATGGCTCATATTCCTCAAACGATGTAAGTTTATAAGGATTGCTTTTTCATGAACCAGATTGATTTGACTTGTGAGAGTGTTAGTGGTTAGTTAGAGTTGTCACAACTTAGCCAACCTTGATCAGTCACTTAGCAACACAATCTCAAAATAATTTTTACTCTTCATGATCAACAGAACTATAAACTTATAAAATAATGATGTAATGAAAAATTTAAAGTACTAATAAAGGATAGGCAAGCTCTAATGTCCTGTACAGTCTGCCTAACACCACCTTCTGTTTCCTGGTTAACCTCTAGTAACCTTTAACCTTTGGCCTTTTTCAGCTTCAGTGAAGAATGCTTTCACAGACCCTGAGGGAGAGTTTGATTATGTCATCAATTTGGCCGCAGAGACCAAATACGGACAGACAGACCCAGTAAGTATGTACAGACAGACAGAGTAAGTATGGACAGACAGACCCAGTAAGTATGGACAGACAGACCCAGTAAGTATGTACAGACGGACCCAGTAAGTATGGACAGACAGACAGAGTAAGTATGGACAGACAGATACAATAAGTATGGACAGATAGATAATTATGGTAATTATGGACAGATAAACATAGAAAGTATGGACAGACAGATATGGTAAATATGGACAGACAGACATAGAAAGTTTGGACAGATATACATAAAAACCATGGACAGACAGATACAGAGAGTATGAACAGACAGACACAGTAAGTAAGGACAGACAGACATATTGAATATGGACAAACGGAAGCAGTGAATATGGACAGACAGCCACAGTACATATTGACAGACAGACACAATAAGTATGGACGGACAGATTGAGAATGCAAGGATGGACAGATCAGTGGCAATACAGATTTATTCCATCTAAATTATATATATATAGTTCAGTCTCATGGTCAGGTTTTATAATATATACCTGCACTTGGTCCATATACAGTTCATCTTTCAACTTGTTTTTAAAATCATATTTTCTATTTTTGTCTATGAGGTGTGTAGAATCTATGTTTTGTTTAATATAGTCATCTGTGTATATATCAGTGGCATTGATTGATGATTCGAGAGTTGTCTCCCCTACAGGTATACCAGGAAGGGATCAATCGTCTGAGCACGAACTGTGCCGCAGAAGCTATGGACCACAAGGTCAAGCTATATATAGAATTCTCTAGTGGTCAGATGTATTCCTCAGACAAGGTATGTACATTTAACAATGTAATATACCTGTATGTTACAAGTATAAGTGATGTATATTATAGGTATAAATGTTACAGGTATGATATATACTGGGAATATATTACAGGTATAAGTGAGTTGTAATAGTTGTTGATGTTACGTACCTGTATGTAAGTATAAGTGATGTAGTTAACAGTTATAAGTGAGTTGTAATATTGGTGGTAATATCGGTCCTGTATGTAAGTATAAGTGATGTAGTTAACAGTTATAAGTGAGTTGTAATAGTTGTTGATGTTGCGTACCTGTATGTAAGTATAAGTGAGTTGTAATAGTTGTTGATGTTACGTACCTGTATGTTACGTACCTGTATGTAAGTATAATACATCTATATCTTATAGGTAGAGGAGGAAGTGACAGGTGTAAGTACCAACACTTATATATAATGTATTGTATTACTGGTATCTATAATGTATTGTATTACTGGTATCTATAATGTATTGTATTACTCGTATCTATGATGTATTACTCGTATCTATAATGTATTGTATTACTCGTATCTATAATGTATTGTATTACTCGTATCTATTTTATATTGGATGAGGCAAAAAAATCATTATTAGTTTCTCAGGCAATGTTTTGCAAAAATCAATGTAGTGGACAGTTTTTAGTTCACCTGGTCCGAAGGACCACAGTGAGCTTATGCCATACCCCAGCGTCCGTCAACTTTTTCTTTAAAACGCTACTAGTCCTGAACAGCTAAAAAGATTTTGACTAAATTTGGTCCTGAGCATCCTCAGGCCAAGGAGACTCAATTTTGTATAAACGGTGGGTGTGGCCCCCCTGGGGGCAGAGGGGCGGTGCCAAACAATGGAAATAGAGGTAAAACCTTTAAAATCCTTCTTCTAACATTGGGATTAAGGAATTTTATTCTAAATTAGTTTGGATCATCCCTGGGTCAAGGGGACACAATTTTCTATAAACGGTGGGTGTGGTCCCCCTCCCGGGGGCAGAGGGGCGGGGCCAAACAATGGAAATAGAGGTAAAACCTTTAAAATCCTTCTTCTACCATAGGGATTAAAGGATTTTATCCTTATTTAGTCTGGAGCATCCTTGGGCCAAGGGGACTCGATTATGTATAAACGGTGGCTGTGGTCTTTAGTATACCAGAGGTGGTTTATTTTTGTTTATGCAATACAAGTAATTAAATGCTATAATTCTCTCTTAACCATTAGAATAACTTTATGTGTAGGTCTGTTGACTCAAAGGATACTTGCCATCATCATTACATTATCAGATGTTATAACAGCAGAAACTCCATAGTCGTCAAACTAGTGTGGAAAAGATTCCACAGGCTCAGCTTAATCCCCACCCATAACTGTCTTATAGAACTCTTCAATTGAGCAACTATATCTGTATCCACAAGGCCACAATGTCTGTATGATGTTCCACATGTCGGTATGATGTTCCACGTGTCTGTATGATGTTCCACATGTCGGTATGATGTTCTACATGTCTGTATGATTTTCCACATGTCGATATGATGTTCCACGTGTCTGTATGATGTTCCACATGTCTGTATGATGTTCCAAGTGTCTGTATGATGCTCCACATGTCGGTATGATGTTCTACATGTCTGTATGATGTTCCACATGTCGATATGATGTTCCACGTGTCTGTATGATGTTCCACATGTCTGTATGATGTTCCACATGTGTCTGTATGATGTTCCACATGTCGTCTGTATGATGTTCCACATGTCGGTATGATGTTCTACATGTGGGTATGATGTTCCACATGTCGGTATGATGTTCTACATGTCGGTATGATGTTCCACATGTCGGTATGATGTTCTACATTTCTGTATGATGTTCCACATGTCGATATGATGTTCCACATGTCTGTATGGTGTTCCACATGTCGGTATGATGTTCTAGATGTCTGTATGATGTTCCACATGTCGGTATGATGTGCCACATGTCTGTATGATGTTCCAAATGTCGGTATGATGTTCTACATGTGGTTATGATGGTCCACATGTCGGTATGATGTTCTACATTTCTGTATGATGTTCCACATGTCTTCTGTATGATGTTCCACATGTCTGTATGATGCATGTGTCTGTAAGATGTTCCACGTGTCTGTATGATGTTCCACATGTCGTCTGTATGATGTTCCACGTGTCTGTATGATGTTCCACGTGTCTGTATGATGCATGTGTCTGTAAGATGTTCCTCGTGTCCCTATGATGTTCCACTACGTGTCTGTATGATGTTCCACGTGTCTGTATGATGATCCACGTGTCTGTATGATGTTCCACATGTCTGTTTGATGTTCCACATGTCGGTATGATGTTCCACGTGTCTGTATGTGATGTTCCACATGTCTGTATGATGCATGTGTCTGTAACATGTTCCACGTGTCTGTATGATGTTCCACATGCCTGTATGATGTTCCACATGTCGGTATGATGTTCCACTTGTCTGTATGATGTTCCACGTGTCCGTATGATGTTCCACATGTCGGTATGATGTTCCACGTGTCTGTATGACATGTCTTCTGTATGATGTTCCACATGTCTTCTGGATGATGTTCCACATGTCTGTATGATGTTCCACATGTCTTCTGTATGATGTTCCACCTGTCTGTATGATGCATGTGTCTGTAAGATGTTCCACGTGTATGTATGATGTTACACATGTCGTCTGTATGATGTTCCACGTGTCTGTATTATGTTCCACAGGTCGTCTGTATGATGTTCCACGTGTCTGTATTATGTTCCACATGTCGGTATGATGTTCCACATGTCGATATGATGTTCCACGTGTCGGTATGATGTTCCACATGTCTGTATGATGTTGCACATGTCTTCTGTATGATGTTCCACATGTCTTCTGGATGATGTTCCACATGTCTGTATGATGTTCCACGTGTCCGTATGATGTTCCACATGTCTGTATGATGTTCCACGTGTCCGTATGATGTTCCACATGTCGGTATGATGTTCCACATGATGGTATGATGTTCCAAGTGTCTGTATGATGTTCCACGTGTCTGTATGATGTTCCACGTGTCTGTATGATGTTCCACATGTCTGTATGATGTTCCACATGTCTGTATGATGTTCCACATGTCTGTATGATGTTCCACATGTCTGTATGATGTTCCACATGTCTGTATGATGTTCCACATGTCTGTATGATGTTCCACATGTCTGTATGATGTTCCACATGTCTGTATGATGTTCCACATGTCTGTATGATGTTCCACATGTCTGTATGATGTTCCACATGTCTGTATGATGTTCCACATGTCTGTATGATGTTCCACATGTCTGTATGATGTTCCACATGTCTGTATGATGTTCCACATGTCTGTATGATGTTCCACATGTCGGTATGATGTTCCACATGTCTGTATGATGTTCCACATGTCTGTATGATGTTCCACATGTCTGTATGATGTTCCACATGTCTGTATGATGTTCCACATGTCTGTATGATGTTCCACATGTCTGTATGATGTTCCACATGTCTGTATGATGTTCCACATGTCTGTATGATGTTCCACATGTCTGTATGATGTTCCACATGTCTGTATGATGTTCCACATGTCTGTATGATGTTCCACATGTCTGTATGATGTTCCACATGTCTGTATGATGTTCCACATGTCTGTATGATGTTCCACATGTCTGTATGATGTTCCACATGTCTGTATGATGTTCCACATGTCTGTATGATGTTCCACATGTCTGTATGATGTTCCACATGTCTGTATGATGTTCCACATGTCTGTATGATGTTCCACATGTCTGTATGATGTTCCACATGTCTGTATGATGTTCCACATGTCTGTATGATGTTCCACATGTCTGTATGATGTTCCACATGTCTGTATGATGTTCCACATGTCTGTATGATGTTCCACATGTCTGTATGATGTTCCACATGTCTGTATGATGTTCCACATGTCTGTATGATGTTCCACATGTCTGTATGATGTTCCACATGTCTGTATGATGTTCCACATGTCTGTATGATGTTCCACATGTCTGTATGATGTTCCACATGTCTGTATGATGTTCCACATGTCTGTATGATGTTCCACATGTCTGTATGATGTTCCACATGTCTGTATGATGTTCCACATGTCTGTATGATGTTCCACATGTCTGTATGATGTTCCACATGTCTGTATGATGTTCCACATGTCTGTATGATGTTCCACATGTCTGTATGATGTTCCACATGTCTGTATGATGTTCCACATGTCTGTATGATGTTCCACATGTCTGTATGATGTTCCACATGTCTGTATGATGTTCCACATGTCTGTATGATGTTCCACATGTCTGTATGATGTTCCACATGTCTGTATGATGTTCCACATGTCTGTATGATGTTCCACATGTCTGTATGATGTTCCACATGTCGGTATGATGTTCCACATGTCTGTATGATGTTCCACGTGTCTGTATGATGTTCCACATGTCGGTATGATGTTCCACATGTCGGTATGATGTTCCACATGTCTGTATGATGTTCCACATGTCGATATGATGTTCCACATGTCGGTATGATTGACCCAATTAATGGTGGACTTAATTCTTTGGTTTTTTCCCCTGATAGTGTATCATAGTTAATAAAGTTATATATATATTGTATTTAGATACACCAACGTCTGAGAAACTAATAGTTTTTTTGGCCTCATCATTATATTGCCTGGTTTTGGTATTTTAAGTTTATATTTTTAGTCTGCTGTTTATGATATAAAAGTAAACAGCTTCCCTTTCTAATTATTTTATTTTACGTATTAACTTTTTCACCCCTGAAGACACATTTGAACTCTTCCAATTCAAATGTTGGAATAGTTCATTATGAAATTTCAGGGATGAATGAGTTAACATTTAATCAAAACATTTGTATTGGCTATTAGGTGTTGTTAGGTGTCGTTATATGTCGTTAGGTGTTGTTATATGTTTTTAGGTGTTGTTATATGTCGTTAGGTGTTGTTAGGTGTCGTTATATGTCGTTATATGTCGTTAGGTGTTGTTATATTTTTTTAGGTGTTGTTGCATGTTACACTGTTGTGTATTAAAAGTCAGCGTTCTGTCAGCACTGTCTTACGTAACTTCAACTGGTCTGGTATACGTATCCCTTGCTTGGTACGCAGGGCGATTGAGGAAGAGAGGGAGGGATGGAAGACTAAGTAGATAATACAATAGCAACAAGCTTTTAATACATATATTTTAGTGTATTACTGTGGTATAAAGGTCGGAAGAAAACAATGCATTTTTAGAAATAAACAAATTATCCACTTAGATTTATACTTATTGACACCCTGGGGTCACCATTCCAGGTTTGTTGTTGATACGCCGTCCCTGGGAACTTTTCAGAGGCGAGGGTTGAATCAGTACCTTCTTAAACTGGAAAACTACAAATATTAAATGGTTAAAGGTTGATGATCGTAAATGAACACAGAAAATGTTTTAAAAAACCTGAAAGAAATACATTTTTTGTCTAAAATATGAAACAAACACCCTGAAAAAAAAAAAAAATCAATAATAACTACAAACTTTACGACGTAGAAGTGACTGTATGGTGTAAATACATCAACATTACTACATAATGTAGCGGACACTGTGTCAGTGTTATCTGGAACTTTACCATGTAGAAGTGACTGTATGGTGTAAATACATCGACATTACTACATAATGTAGCCGACATTGTGTCAGTGTTATCTGGAACTTTATAATTAGCTTCAAGGACAAGACTAAGCAACTCTGTTTCTTATGTCACTGTATTAAAGGCAATGTATAATGTTGTAATCAATTCTCTCTCTGATGCAAAATTAACACTCAAATAGTAACTTATTTAAACCACTATCTCATATATAATTATGAACACCATATGTATTTTATTTATCAAATATATATTTTATACTTACTGTATAGACTGCTTGACATTCTACTCCAATAAAATCACTAAATGCTTTGAAAAAAAAATTTGAAATGTTTAACTATAATCTGGAGGGTGATATCAGGCCCCTTGGACCTTTTGCTGTTAACTGTTAAGTAATTTGGTTGCTTTTTAATTTGCGTCACCAGCTATAATTTAGCATCTTGATCACTCATGGGGCTCCGGAGCAGGAATGTGAATAATATACCAGCTCCGGCTGCATGATGTATTTACTTAAGCATTCTGTATTCACCCACATTGTATTTAAGGGGATAACCCTACTGTATTTTTAGATCTGCAGTGGTAAATTTTGGTTATGTTATCGCAATTAATTTCTATTGACCAATCAAATGCCTTGTTACATCTCAAATGAATTAAAATTAATGTTGCATGATCAGACCTCTTCCTCATTTAGAGCTAAATGTGTTTTGTGTACCAGGTAATTCAGGGAAATGGATTCTTTTTCTTTTCAGTTGATTTTCTCAAATTTTCCTATTTTACCCTCGATTTTAAAAGGTCTTGATATTTTCTGAAAGGTTCTAAGGGGTCAGGTGTATTTGTCCCTTTTTATTTTGATTTCCTACTTTTTTCCCCAATCACATCCCTCGAACCTAGTACTTCCTCTCTTACATTTACAATGTCATGGAGTTACTTATACATGCTAGAGTAACCATGGTGATGAGCTTTTACCTTCAGTGTATTTCAGACAGAAACATTGTCTTGGTACTGCTTGGTCTTCAGATGATGAATTTTACCATAACCATAGTTGTCTCCCCTGCAAAAATGTTATGACTGACTCATTATCTTATTTACCTAATAAAAACAGATAGACAAAGTAAAGTTATACTTTTGTATTAGATGAGAAGCACAGCAACCTTAGTAAGTCAAATGATAAAATTATTTCACCATTTACAGAAACCGTGTCGTGAGGATGGGAAATGTGAACCGTGGACACATCTTGCCAAACACAAACTAGAGGTGGAACACCAGCTGGAAAACTTCAAAGATCTGAATTACATCATAGTGAGGCCGGCTATAGTGTACGGACCCGGGGACAGACAGGGTCTTAGTAAGTATACTATAGTGTACAGTCCCGGGGACAGACCGGGTCATAGTAAGTATACAATAGTGGACAGTCCCGGGGACAGACAGGGCCTTAGTAAATATACAATAGTGTACTCAAAGATCTGAATTACATCATAGTGAGGCCGGCTATAGTGTACGGACCCGGGGGCAGACAGGGTCTTAGTAAGTATACTATAGTGTACAGTCCCAGGGACAGACAGGGCCTTAGTACGTATACTATAGTGTACAGTCCCGGGGACAGACAGGGGCTTAGTAAGTATACTATAGTGTACAGTCCCGGAGACAGACAGGGCCTTAGTAAGTATACTATAGAGTACAGTCCCGGGGACAGACAGGGCCTTAGTAGGTATACTATAGTGTACAGTCCCGGGGACTGACAGGGCCTTAGTAAATATACAATAGTGTACTCAAAGATCTGAATTACATCATAGTGAGGCCGGCGATAGTGTACGGACCCGGGGACAGACAGGGTCTTAGTAAGTATGCTATAGTATACAGTCCCAGGGACAGACAGGGCCTTAGTAGGTATACTATAGTGTACAGTCCCGGGGACTGACAGGGCCTTAGTAAATATACAATAGTGTACTCAAAGATCTGAATTACATCATAGTGAGGCCGGCTATAGTGTACGGACCCGGGGACAGACAGGGGCTTAGTAAGTATACTATAGTGTACAGTCCCGGGGATAGACAGGGCCTTAGTAAGTATACTATAGTGTACAGTCCCGGAGACAGACAGGGCCTTAGTAAGTATACTATAGTGTACGGTCCCTGGGACAGACAGGGCCTTAGTAAGTATACTATAGTGTACAGTCCTGGGGACAGACAGGGCCTTAGTAGGTATACTATAGTGTACGGACCCGGGGACAGACAGGGGCTTAGTAAGTATACTATAGTGTACAGTCCCGGAGACAGACAGGGTCTTAGTAAGTATACTATAGTATACAGTCCCGGGGACAGTCCCGGGGGCAGACAGGGCCTTAGTAAGTATACTATAGTGTGCGGTCCCGGGGACAGACAGGGCCTTAGTAAGTATACTATGGTGTACGGTCCTGGGGACAGACAGGGTCTTAGTAAGTATACTATAGTATATAGTATTGGGGACAGACAGGGCCCTTAGTAAGTATACCATACTATCCCGGGGACAGACAGGGTCTTAGTAGGTATACTATAGTATACAGTCCCTGGGACAGACAGGGTCTTAGTAAGTATACTATAGTATACAGTCCTGGGGACAAACAGGGTCTTAGTTAGTATACTAAAGTGTACAGTCCCGGGGACAGACAGGGTCTTATAAATATACTATAGTGTACAGTCCCGGGGACAGACAGGACCTTCGTAAGTATACAATAGTGTACAGTCTTTGGGACAGACAGGGCCTTAGTAAGTATACTATAGTGTCCAGTCCCAGGGACAGACAGGGTCTTAGTAAGTATACTATAGTGTACGGTCCTGGGGACAGACAGGGTCTTAGTAAGTATACCATACTATCCCGGGGACAGACAGGGTCTTATAAATATGCTATAGTGTACAGTCCCGGGGACGGATAGGGTCTTAGTAAGTATACTATAGTATACGGACCCAGGGACAGACAGGGCCTTAATAAGTATACTATAGTGTACAGTCCCGGGGACAGATAGGGTCTTAGTAAGTATACTATAGTGTACGGTCCTGGGGACAGACCGGGTCTTAGTAAGTATACTATAATGTAGAGTTCTGGGGACAGACCTGGTCTTAGTAAGTATACAATAGTGGACAGTCCCGGGGACAGACAGGGCCTTAGTAAGTATACTATAGTGTACGGTCCTGGGGACAGACCGGGTCTTAGTAAGTATACTATAATGTAGAGTTCTGGGGACAGACCTGGTCTTAGTAAGTATACAATAGTGGACAGTCCCAGGAACAGACAGGGCCTTAGTAAGTATACTATAATATACAGTCCCGGGGATAGACAGGGCCTTAGTAAGTATACTATAGTGTCCAGTCCCAGGGACAGACAGGGTCTTAGTAAGTATACCATACTATCCAGGGGACAGACAGGGTCTTAGTAGGTATACTATAGTATACAGTCCCGGGGACAGACCGGGTCTTAGTAAGTATACAATAGTGGACAGTCCCAGGGACAGACAGGGCCTTAGTAAGTATACTATAGTGTACAGTCCCAGGGACAGACAGGGTCTTAGTAAGTATACTATAGTATACAGTACTGGGGACAGACAGGGCCTTAGTAAGTATACTATGATATACAGTCCCGGGGACAGACAGGGGCTTAGTAAGTATACTATAGTATACAGTCCTGGGGACAAACAGGGTCTTAGTAAGTATACTATAGTGTACAGTCCCGGGGCCAGACAGGGACTTAGTAAGTATACTATAGTATACAGTCCCGGGTACAGACAGGGTCTTAGTAAGTATACTATAGTGTACAGTCCCGGGGACAGACCGGGTCTTAGTAAGTATACAATAGTGGACACTCTCAGGGAAAGACAGGGCCTTAGTAAGTATACTATAGTGTGCGGTCCCGGGGACAGACAGGGCCTTAGTAAGTATACAATAGTGGACAGTCCCGGGGACAGACAGGGCCTTAGTAAATATACTATAGTATACAGTCCCGGGGACAGACAGGGTCTTAGTAAGTATACCATACTATCCCGGGGACAGACAGGGTCTTAGTAAGTATACTATAGTATACAGTCCTGGGGACAAACAGGGTCTTAGTAAGTATACTATAGTGTACAGTCCCAGAGACAGACAGGGTCTTAGTAAGTATACTATAGTGTACAGTCCCAGAGACAGACAGGGTCTTAGTAAGTATACTATAGTATACAGTCCCGGGTACAGACAGGGACTTAGTAAGTATACTATAGTATACAGTCCCGGGTACAGACAGGGTCTTAGTAAGTATACTATAGTATACAGTCCCAGGGACAGACAGGGTCTTAGTAAGTATACTATAGTATACAGTACTGGGGACAGACAGGGCCTTAGTAAGTATACAATAGTGGACAGTCCCGGGGACAGACAGGGCCTTAGTAAATATACTATAGTATACAGTCCCGGGGACAGACAGGGGCTTAGTAAGTATACTATAGTATACAGTCCTGGGGACAGACACGGCCTTAGTAAGTATACTATAGTATACAGTCCTGGGGACAGACACGGCCTTAGTAAGTATACTATAGTATACAGTCCTGGGGACAGACACGGCCTTAGTAAGTATACTATAGTATACAGTCCTGGGGACAAACAGGGTCTTAGTAAGTATACTATAGTGTACAGTCCCAGAGACAGACAGGGTCTTAGTAAGTATACTATAGTGTACAGTCCCAGGGACAGACAGGTCCTTAGTAAGTATACTATAGTATACGGACCCAGGGACAGACAGGGCCTTAATAAGTATACTATAGTGTACAGTCCCGGGGACAGACCGGGTCTTAGTAAGTATACAATAGTGGACAGTCCCAGGAACAGACAGGGCCTTAGTAAGTATACTATAGTGTACGGACCCGGGGACAGACAGGGTCTTAGTAAGTATACCATACTCTCCCGGGGACAGACAGGGTCTTAGGAGGTATACTATAGTGTACGGTCCAGGGGACAGACAGGACCTTAGTAAGTATACTATAGTGTGCGGTCCCAGGGACAGACAGGGCCTTAGTAAGTATACAATAGTATACAGTCCCGGGGACAGACAGGGCCTTAGTAAGTATACTATGATATACAGTCCCGGGGACAGACAGGGTCTTAGTAAGTATACTATAGTATACAGTCCCGGGGACAAACAGGGCCTTAGTAAGCATACTATAGTATACAGTCCCGGGTACAGACAGGGACTTAGTAAGTATACTATAGTATACAGTCCCGGGTACAGACAGGGACTTAGTAAGTATACTATAGTATACAGTCCTGGGGACAGACAGGGCCTTAGTAAGTACACTATAGTGTACAGTCCGGGGGACAGACAGGGTCTTAGTAAGTATACTATAGTCTACGGTCCCGGGGACAGACAGGGCCTTAGTAAGTATACTATAGTGTACAGTCCCAGGGACAGACAGGGCCTTAGTAAGTATACTATAGACAGTCCCAGGGACAGACAGGGTCTTAGTAAGTATACCATACTATCCTGGGGACAGACAGGGTCTTAGTAAGTATACTATAATGCAGAGTTCTGGGGACAGACAGGGCCTTAGTAAGTATACAATAGTGGACAGTACCGGGGACAGACAGGGCCTTAGTAAGTATACTATAGTGTACGGTCCCGGGGACAGACAGGGCCTTAGGAAGTATACTATAGTGTATGATCCCGGGGACAGACAGGACCTTAGTAAGTATACTATAGTGTACGGTCCCGGGGACAGACAGGGCCTTAGGAAGTATACTATAGTGTATGATCCCGGGGACAGACAGGGCCTTAGTAAGTATACTATAGTGTATGATCCCGGGGACAGACAGGACCTTAGTAAGTATACTATAGTGTGCGGTCCCGGGGACAGACAGGGCCGTAGTAAGTATACTGTAGTGTACGGTCCTGGGGACAGACAGGGTCTTAGTAAGTATACTATAATGTAGAGTTCTGGGGACAGACAGGGCCTTAGTAAGTATACAATAGTGTACAGTCCCAGGGACAGACAGGGCCTTAGTAAGTATACTATAGTGTACGGTCCTGGGGACAGACAGGGTCTTAGTAAGTATACTATAGTATACAGTATTGGGGACAGACAGGGTCTTAGTAGGTATACTATAGTGTACAGTCCCAGGGACAGACAGGGTCTTAGTAAGTATACCATACTATCCAGGGGACAGACAGGGTCTTAGTAGGTATACTATAGTGTACAGTCCCAGGGACAGACAGGGCCTTAGTAAGTATACTATAGTATACAGTCCTGGGGACAAACAGGGCCTTAGTAAGTATACTATAGTATACAGTCCTGGGGACAAACAGGGTCTTAGTAAGTATACTATAGTATACAGTCCCGGGGACAGACAGGGCCTTAGTAAGCATACTTTAGTATACAGTCCTGGGGACAGACAGGGTCTTAGTAAGTATACTATAATGTAGAGTTCTGGGGACAGACAGGGCCTTAGTAAGTATACAATAGTGTACAGTCCCAGGGACAGACAGGGCCTTAGTAAGGATACTATAGTGTACAGTCCCGGGGACAGACAGGGTCTTAGTAGGTATACTATAGTGTACAGTCCCAGGGACAGACAGGGCCTTAGTAAGTATACTATAGTATACAGTATTGGGGACAGACAGGGTCTTAGTAGGTATACTATAGTATACAGTCCCGGGGACAGACAGGGTCTTAGTAACTATACTATAGTGTACAGTCCCGGGGACAGACAGGGCCTTAGTAAGCATACTTTAGTATACAGTCCTGGGGACAGACAGGGTCTTAGTAAGTATACTATAGTATACAGTCCTGGGGACAAACAGGGTCTTAGTAAGTATACTATAGTGTACAGTCCCGGGACAGACAGGGCCTGGGTAAGTATACTATAGTGTACAGTCCCGGGACAGACAGGGCCTTAGTAAATATACAATAGTGTACAGTCCCGGGGACAGACAGGACCTTAGTAAGTATACTATAGTGTACAGTCCCGGGGATAGACAGGGCCTTAGTAAGTATACTATAGTATACAGTCCTGGGGACAAACAGGGTCTTAGTAAGTATACTATAGTGTACAGTCCCGGGACAGACAGGGCCTTGGTAAGTATACTATAGTGTACAGTCCCGGGGACAGACAGGACCTTAGTAAGTATACTATAGTGTACAGTCCCGGGGACAGACAGGGCCTTAGTAAGTATACTATAATTTAGAGTCCTGAGGACAGACAGGGCCTTAGTAAGTATACTATAATTTAGAGTCCTGGGGACAGACAGGGCCTTAGTAAGTATACTATAATTTAGAGTCCTGGGGACAGACAGGGCCTTAGTAAGTATACAATAGTGGACAGTCCCGGGGACAGACAGGGCCTTAGTAAGTATACTATAGTGTAGCGTTCTGGGGACAGACAGGGCCTTATAGTAAGTATACTATAATATACAGTCCCGGGGACAGACAGGGCCTTAATAAGTATACTATAGTGTACAGTCCCGGGGACAGACAGGGCCTTAGTTAATATGCAAGTAGTTTATGTTAGTATATATCTATGTGTCTCATCAGTGGGAAATATAATGCAAAATTTTAACACAACTTGAATTCTTGAGTGTTTGACAATGCAAGGCTAGCCCAGGTTTAAAAGCCACAAGGAACTAACCTGTATGTCTCCTGTATGTCAGCCCTAGAAATTAATGTTTGTTTTATTCCATCATCCATTTTATAGGTGATATATAGCATTAGTCATGTCTATCTCTTCTGTTGTATTGTAATACATTACGGTGACACTAACGACTTATGTCTCAGGAGATTTTCATCAAAGTTCATTTAAAGGTCAAGTATGAGAATACTTTAGATGACTTTGTATTTCAGGGTCTCAAGGTCAATGCCAAGGTCATTGTTGCTATAAATAGGTCTAGTTTTCTAAATAGGTCCATTTTGATAGGATTTTAATTTGTTTTTCAAATGATCAGTAATAAATCACTATACATGTATTTTATAATGCTTATACAATATGTATGAAAATTGTATATTATTTGTGTTTAACAAGCATCTGTAAGGAATTATCTTACCTTCCAGCCCCTAGACTTATCATTGGTGCAATCTACAAGTACATCAGACAAAAAATGAAGGTAAGTGTCTGTCTGTCTGTCTCATGACTTATGTTTCCTTGTTACATATTTCTGTCCTATGATGTCTGTCTCTCCTGATATATTTTACAGATGTCTGTCCTATGAACCTTGTTACTATGGTACCATTGTCTGTCCTATGATGTATGTCTGTCTGTCCTCTTGCTATGTTACAGTTGTCTGTCTATCTGTCCTGTAGCTATGTTACAGTTGTCTGTCTATCTGTCATGTAGATATGTTACAGTTGTCTGTCTATCTGTCCTGTAGCTATGTTACAGTTGTCTGTCTATCTGTCATGTAGATATGTTACAGTTGTCTGTCTATCTGACCTGTAGCTATGTTACAGTTGTCTGTCTATCTGTCCTGTTTCTATGTTACAGCTGTCTGTCTATCTGTCATGTAGCTATGTTACAGTTGTCTGTCTATCTGTCCTGTAGCTATGTTACAGTTGTCTGTCTATCTGTCCTGTAGCTATGTTACAGTTGTCTGTCTATCTGTCCT